GACACTTTGGGGACACAGGACAGGGCACATGGGATGGCAGCACAGGGCACAGGGGTGGTGACACCAAGGACAGAGGGCACATGGACATGGCAGCATAGGGCACACAGGGGTGGGGACACAGGGATGGTGACACTTTGGGGACACAGGGGTGGGGACACAGGGGTGGGGACACAGGGGTGGCAGCACAAGGGGGACACAGGGATGGTGACACACTGGGGACACGGGACAGGGCACAGGGGACACAGGGATGGGGACACAGGGATGGGGACATCAGGGACAGAGGGCACATGGGATGGCAGCACAGGGCACAGGGGTGGGGACACCAAGGATAGAGGGCACACAGGGGTGGCAGCACAGGGGACACGGGGCTGGGGACAGGGGACAATCAGAGCCCACGGATGGCACCTCACAGGGAAAACTGGTGGCAGCAGGACCTCGGGATCATCCTGTGCCAAGGGGGAACAGCCAGGACACGGCTGGCACAGGGACACCAGGGACACGGGGTGGCAGCACAGGGGACACCAGGCACTCCCAGCTCCAGGAATTAAGGACATTCCCAGCTCCAGGGATTTGGGACATTCCCAGCTGAAGGGATGTGGGACACTGGACATTCCCAGCTCCAGGAATTTGGGACATTCCCAGCTGAAGGGATGTGGGACACTGGGCATTCCCAGCTCCAGGAATTTGGGACATTCCCAGCTCCAGGAATTTGGGACATTCCCAGCTCCAGGAATTAAGGACATTCCCAGCTCCAGGGATTTGGAACATTCCCAGCTCCAGGGATTTGGGACATTCCTGGCTCCAGGGATTAAGGACATCCTCAGCTCCAGGGATTTGGCACATTCCCAACTCCAGGAATTTGGGACATTCCCAACTCCATGGATATGGGACATCCCCAGCTCCAGGGATTGGGGACACTGGGCATTCCCAGCTCCAAGGATTTGGGACATCCCCAGCTCCAGGGATTTGGGACATTCCCAACTCCAGGGACTTTCCGGCTCCAGGGCCATGGGACACCGGGAATTCCTGGGACACAGCCAGGAATGTCACCTGTCCTCTGCCAAAGGCCACACCCTCGGGAATGTCACCTTTCCACAGCTCCAGCGACCTGGGCACGGAATCGACGGGAAAAGAGGGATGAAATCCATCCCAAACCACCAATTCTGGGATGTTTCCTCCTGATTCATCCCGGTTTTTTAGTTGGGACTGCCGGGGGTTTCTCCCTTGGGGAGTTGGAAGCACCTTTGGCACCCCCAGACCTTCATTCCCAAAATTTAGGTCCTCCCGTATCCCCAGGTCTTTCCTTTCCCAAAGGGAACAAGGAGGAGGAAATCATGGAATGCTTTGGGTTGGAAGGGACCTGGAAGCTGCTCAACTTCCAACCTCCTTCCTCTAGTCCAGGTGGCTCCAATATCCCAAAATTTCCCAGGGAATCCCGCTGGAGACGGGAATAAACCCCCATTCCATGTGCACTTCCAATTTCCAGCTTTATTATTCCCGTTTCGGAGGGAAAAGGATCCCGGTTTTCCACCTAAATCTTGTTGAAGGCGGCGATGTCCACGCTCTGCACCTGGAATGAGAGCAGAGCCCTCAGGTCATTCCAGGCATTCCCAAGAAAACACATCCCGGTTTTCAAACCCTCCCTCTCTTATCCCGCTCCAAGTCCTCCAGGTAATTCCAGGCATTCCCAAGAAAACACATTCTAGTCCAAACCCTCCCTCTCTTATCCTGCTCCGAGTCCTCCAGGTAATTCCAGGCATTCCCAAGAAAACACATCCCGCTTTTCCAAACCCTCCCTCTCTTATCCCAATCCCGGACTCACGTAATCCTCGAACTTGGTGATCTCCTCTTCCAGGATGTCCGTTCCCACTTTTTCGTCCTCCACCACGCACTGGATCTGGAGCTTCTTGATCCCGTATCCCACCGGGACGAGCTTGGAAGCTCCCCAGAGCAGCCCATCCATGTGGATGGAACGGACACATTCCTCCAGCTTGGCCATGTCCGTCTCATCATCCCACTGGGAAAAGAGGCGGGAAATTTGGGAGGTTGAAGGGTTTTCCCGGGATTCGGCAGCGATCCGCTTTTTCCTCGGTTTCCTCCCCTTTTTCTGGAGTATATTCCCGTTTTCTTTCACCCAGGGGGACACCAGGACACCTCTTGGGATCATCCAGTGGATCCAAAGGGTCCTTTCCTGGCGGGTTTCGCCGGAGTTTGGGAAAGGGAAGGATCCAGGGAGAGCTTGGAGCAGCTTCCGGTGTCCAAAGGGGCTCCCGGAGAGGGACTGGGGATAAGGGATGCAGGGATGGGACACAGGGAATGGATTCCCACTGCCAGAGGGACAGATGGGATACTGGGAAGGAATGGGAAACTGGGGAGGAAGGGGATATTGGGCAGGAATGGGATATTGGAAGGAATGGGATATTGGGAAGGAATGGGATATTGGGAATGGATGGAATACTGGGAAGGAAGGGGATACTGTAAGGAATGGGATATTGGGAAGGAATGGGATATTGGGAAGGAATGGGATATTGGGAAGTATGGCATACTGGAAGGAATGGGATACTGGGAAGGAATTGGATATTGGGAAGGAATGGGATACTGAAAGGAATGGGATATTGGGAAGGAAGCGGATACTGGGAAGGAATGGGACACTGGGAAGGAATGGGACGCTGGGAAGGAAGGGGACGCTGGGAAGGAAGGGGATACTGGAAGGAACGGGATACTGGAAGGAATGGGATATTGGGAAGGAATGGGATACTGGGAAGGAATGGGATATTGGGAAGGAATGGGAAACTGGGGAGGAATGGGATATTGGGAAGGAAGGGGATATTGGGAATGGATGGAATACTGGGAAGGAAGGGGATACTGGAAGGAATGGGATATTGGGAAGG